TTTCTTGCTCAGCTTTTCTGTCAAAGTTTCTGAAGGGAAGTCAGGATCCTGACTTTTAGCAACAGAGGTACACTGAGGTCTGCCGCATGCTCTAACCACAGTGGAAAAACAAACTTGTTTTGATGAGTCTGGAAACTACCCATGGCAAATGTGATTGCTATTAGTGAATGGTACTCATATGTCTAATGATGTGAAGAGGCAACCTTTTCATATCAGTGACTTTAGTCTCTGACACAGTTTTGTTCTATCAAATCAAAGTTTTTAAGAAGCTGATGGTCTTGTCTGCATGTGGTCTTTAATTTGAAATATTCAAAAGACTTACCTGTGTCCTTCTTTCTGCCCTCCTCACCTGTTTTGTGTAGTTTGGCCCCCAACACTATTTTGTGGGGCAGATAATTTTTTCTGAAACATTTCTAATTCTGCAGTGGAGCTGGTAGAGCTGCAAACACATTCTTGAGTAATACAGTTGCACCCAGTTTATTTCAGAAGTTAGTGTTTATTTTTTCTGTCAGTATCAGAAATCCTGAGCTAAATATAAACTGCAAACACACTTGTATGAATTGTTTAAGAGTTTTATTGAAAAGCAGCAATCTAAAGTCACCACATTTATCTGAAATCTTAAAAAATAAAACTTTAGAAAAGTCATGATAAACTTTAAAAAGTGAAAATATGAGGTTCTGCTCTGTTATAAAGAAACAAAGATGAAACATTTTCCATTTTACTGCTTGAAGCTAAAGTACACACATTCACTCCAGAAGTCACCAGTCTTGCTCTTGCTCTCCTGGTAACAACAAAGTACAAAGATTGAATTACACATTCGATGGTAAATGCAACTCAGAGCGCTTTTTATACAATATGCCACATTTACCCATTCACACAAGCACCTTTTTTCTATGTTCAAGTGTTATAGTTTCTAACATTTACATATTCGTACTCTGTTGTGACTTATGAAACAAAGTTGTTTTTTAACCCAAGAGTTACCTCTTTGTGTTTTATGGAGAAATTTGAAAAGCTTGGATGACATTCTGGGCAGCAGCAGCTGTTTATCTTGATGATCACACACAAAGTGGAAACCAGTGATATAGTCAGAACGGTCATGAATGCAACAGCTCCTTTCAAGACAAAGGAGTCTATGTTATCTGCAGATAAAGGAGGGGAAATAAAATAGCATTCAGCTGTATGAATTTAGAGTGGGAGTAGATGTTCTTCTTGAATGTACTCACTTTCAAAGTCCAGCTTGGTCCCGTTTCCAAACACTATGTGTCCACATGAATCAACAGCACAGTAGTAGGTCCCAGCATGAGACATGTTCAGATCCTTCATTGGCAGGTTGTAGACACAGGCGTCTGCTTTTGGGTTAGTTTTCGTCCTACAGTAATCATTTTTGCCTCCATAAGTGTAAATCAGTCCTGGACGAGATGCTTCTGTTTCTTTGAACCAGTAAACACTGTGTTCTTCATCACAGGTCCCAGTTTGTACTGTGCAGTTCAAAGTCACAGAGCCTCCTGGCTGGATGCTCTCAGATGCTGACTGATGGACTAAAGCTGGGTTTTTCAAACCTGCCTCCCTTACTTTGACAATGGTACCCTCTGCAAAAGTTAACACAAATCTATAGCTGCATGAATAGTAGTAGCTGAGTCATTGATATTCAAATCTAAAATGTTCAAGTTATTTCTTCCGTTTTCTCTATCCAGTGTAAACTGTGGATTGTTCTGGAATTCATCCTAAAAAGTGATTTTTGTATCATAGACATAGAAGGTAGAGATTACCTTGGTTTCTGTCCCTGTGCAAGATCCATGCTGAATCATCACCTTCATAGAAACATTGCAAACTCACATTTTCTCCAACAATAGCTAAGATAAAATCTTTGTCTTGATGAACAGATGCCGGTAGTTGCAGATGAGTCTTCTGGACTACATTAAAATCAGAAAAAAAGAAAATGACTTCAATGCAAAGTCAAGTTTTCAACGACATTAGCTGTCCTGATTGGTAATATTACGTGATAGGAAATGATGTAAATACAGCGTAATCCAAATTACTAACACATAACTCACCTATATTCCCTAAGATCAGACATGTCAGATATGAAGCACGCGTGACATATGCCATCGTGTTCAAACTGCTAGTCTGAAAGAAAATAACCTTCCTCCACTCTTTTGAGATCCAACTTAATCATGTGATCTGCCTCATATAGGAAATGTGGTCACAGGTTTGGGAGCACTTTTTGCTTCTTTGAATAGAACCAACACAACATGCACCAATAATATAATTGATTAAAAGGTTTTTGTGTTTCCTTTTTCTAGTCAGGGGGAGGTTTGTGCTCATCATGTTCTCAGGTTGCTCAAACGCTGAAACTAAACACTAATAAAAGCACCAAAATAGAGACACTAGATTAAAAACAAAAGGTGACAGAGCTTTTGTTTCTGTGGCTCCCAGACTCTGGAACTCTCTTCCACTGAATTTGAGATCTGTAGACTCGGTCAGTTCTTTTAAAAACAGTTAAAAACCCATCTTTTTAAACTTGACTTTGGTTGATGCTGTTTTATGTTCTAGCTTCTGTGAAGCACTTTGTGATTTTATCTTGAAAGGTGCTATATAAGTAAAATTTTGCTTACTTTACATGTATTAAATTCAGCTAAGTGTTAGAACACATCTTATGATATTTTTACAGTTGTTGGTCTTAAAGGAACAAATTCAAAGTTGCTGTGTGGTTTTCAGTGCACTCCACTCATGTGTGAACGTAGCTGAAAGTGGCCTCAGGGAAAACGTACAGGCATACAGTACAGCGAGAGTTTCACTTCTTCAGTAAAGCACCTTTGTTGTGCAGGTGTCTTCAACACAGCCTCCCCACTCGAATTCTGAGCAGGCATCTCCATCCGACATCAAGGAAACACTCACTATTGCTTTTAAATCATTGAACTTCAAACACTGCTCGCTTCAGTTTTAAGCGCTACATCAAAAGGTCCTGATTAATGACGAACAGCAGTGTGTTAGTGAAATCTAAAATAAAATTCATCCTTAATCACTATAAGAGGATATGAGAGGATTAAAGCTTTGTCATAAAGCTGATACCAAGCCTCTTGTGATCAGATTTCATTGCTGGACTGTGCACTGGCTTCACCCTGTGAAGAGTATGTGAACGTGCAGGTAACCATGCACAGTGCAGGAGAGAACAAACATCACAGGTGGTGTGAAAGATGAGGTTTTTAGAGCTAACAGCCTTTGCCAATTAGAGATCTTTATCATACCTTCAGTTTAATCTACTTCTGCTTGCATGTGATGTCTGATTTTAATTGTTTCAACTGTTGTCATTTCTTAACGCAGACTTGTAAAGAAGTACAATTTAGCATGTTCTTATAAATTTTGCTACTGGTTGATTTGGTAGCTTTAAACACTTATTGAAAGGCTGGCGTAGTTTCACCCAATTGTTATTCACATAGTTACTGTTTTTGTGTATTGTACATAGATTTAGCTAGTAATAGTACCTTTTTTAGCTCTTAATTTTACCCAAATTTAGCAAGTTATTATTTATTTGTAATTTCTAGTTTTATATCTCTTAGAATGTTTTTTATATTCTTATAAATGCACCATGCGGGGCTTGGGGTGAAACGGCATTTCGGTAAGCTGTATACTGTGTATATTTTTGTACTGACCATAAAGACCTTAAATCTTGAATCTTAAATTAATGACTCAGATTAATGACTGCTTCCTTTGTCCGTCCAGTAACCATGGACACGACTGGTTAATCCCTCTGTTGTCCCTGCTAGAATTTCCAGCAGTGAAATTCTGGGATCCAATCTTCTGAACTGCTCATCTCGCAGAAGATGAAGGGAACAGCAGAATGTCTCCGGACGTTTCAGTTTATACTTTGTCAAGTGCCCACCTTTCTACCTTAAATATCCAGTCACTGATCTTCAACAACACTTTATAATTTTCTCTCTCTCTCTCTTTTAACATGGAAAATTTCATTACATTAGAACATTCAGTCATATATGAATAAGCTTCACATAACGATTTATTCAGTTTAGATTCCATTGGCACATTCACTTTAGCATAATCCTTTTAATCCACATACTTTTTCTCTTTAAAACTGTTTGTCAATCACAATTTGAGCCTGAATTAAGCCTGTCTTTAAAATCATTTGTAACTTTTTGCATTATTATATTGCTCAACTTAAACATAATTCTGAGTTTAAACCATTGCAACATTTAAAACTACTCTTTTTGTTCAAAAGTATGGGTGATGCTTGGGTTGGCGACACAGTCCTTCCCAGTCCCAGACATGAATAAAAAGGTAAACTGTGGATCATGTCTACACACCTAAAATCTAGAAATTAGAGAAATCATTTCCACTACTCAATTTGCATTTCTTTGATAACATATTGAGCAGACATATATTTCTGATTTATCTTTGATTAAAAAAAAGATAATCTCCATACTAGCAGATAGAAAAGCTTTGTTTTAGCACTCATTTTCATTTTTAACACATAAGGCTGGGTGTCAAGTCATTTTACCACCTCAGCTGTGATGGCATTGGGCGGCCACGGGGACTTCAATCTCTCACCCAGGTCTGGTTAGGTCTGGCTAGTGAAATTCCACTCAGCTGTCCAAAAAATCTGGTTAATCATAGTTAATATGTTTGTATTGTATTGTAATTTGATTGTATTTACTTAAAAAAATCTTTGACTAATGTTAAAAGACTAACGCTAAAAGAAACAAAATAAGGAAAGTGGCAAATACTTTTTTACGGCACTGTTTATAAGCATTCAAATCAAATGCAGAGCTGAGTACAGGATCTACTACATATAAACATTGTGAATTTCAGATTCCAGCACACAGGCTAAAACAGTTTTGTTTGGGACAAAATCGAACTCATCTTAATATAAAGTTGCAAAACTTATATCAGGAAGTTCACAGACAACAAATGTCTTTAGGTCTTTAAATGCTGAAGCCTGTTAAAAATAACAAAAGCACAAAAACAGATAAGAAACTCATCCAGTTCTACTGCCTCATACTAGAGTAGACACATTCAGCCTTGCTGTTGTTACTCTTTCTTCTTGGTCTGTCAGCTCTCGGATGCCTTAAAGCCGCATAATGGATGTCTCCTTCATTGTGCTGATAATAAAATATAAAATATATACAGTTGCATAAAATTACTTAAAAGAAATAAAAGACTGAAAATAAATTGAGTCAGTTGTTAACATTTGAATGTCAACACAAAAATTACCTCTGTGTCTGCTGAGGAAAGAGGTGACGTTCTTGGATGAGACTCTAAAAAAGAACAGATGAAGTTCTCTAACTATGATGCTGGGTTGATTCAGTTTATATTGATAGTAACAATAGCAGTTGCAGTACCTGTGCACGTGGTGCTCTTTCTCTTGTGGGTTACACACAATAAAAAAGCCATTAAAACACTCAGAAGTGTGGTGAATGCCAACGCTCCACTCAAGAAATACACAGAGACACAACAGTTCCCCTCATCTGTGGACAGACACCAGGAAACATTAAAGATCCTTGACTATACTATTATGTACTTTATAATAATATTACCAAGTTACTCACCCTTAAAGTCCAGCTTGGTCCTGTTTCCAAACAGTATGTGTCCACATGAGGCGACAGCACAGTAGTAGGTCCCAGCATGAGCCGTATTCAGGCTCTTCATTGGCAGGTTGTAGACACAGGTGTGTGTCTGTGTGTTGGGTTTCCTCTCACACTGATCATTCCTGCCTCCATGGGTGTAAATGATTCTTGGGAAAGATGCTTCAGAGTCTCTGAACCAGTAAACACTGTGTTCTTCATCACAGGTCCCAGTGTGTACTGTACAGTTCAGAGTCACAGAGCCTCCTGGTTGGATGGTCTCAGATACTGACTGATGCAGTAAAGTTGGGATGTTCGACCCTGAACCCTTTACATCAACAAAAGTACCCTCTCCAAACTCAAACATGTAGCCATAAGCTCCACAGTAGTAAATAGCAGAGTCTGAAATTTGCACATTTGTTATCTTTAAGTAGATTTTTCTTTCCTCAGTAGCCGCTGTGAATCGTGAATCATTCTTGAATTCATCATGAAATGTAGCATTGGTGTCGTACTTATACAAAGTAGAAATGAGCTTCAGTTTCAGTCCCAAGTTCAGCTTGTACCAGAAAAACTTTGCCACATCGTTAGCGTTATAAAAACAATTCAAAGTCACACTTTGCCCAGTATTAACTGATATAAAACGTCTTTCTTGATGAACAGACAATTTCAAATCATTTGTGTGAGCTGAAATAAAATAAGAAAAAGTAAGTACACAGGACAAATGAAGGCATGGCAAAAAGGTTCAGACGGTAGTTTAAAGAGAAACTTACCCATTTGCCCCAGAAACAAACATGTGAGATAAAACTGTGTCAATGTCATCATGTTGTGGTGAATGGAAAGAGTCTCAATCCTGTCTTCACTTTTAAGAGAGAAGAATGCATTTTATTGGCCAACCAGTGATGACTCAGCATGTCCTATTTAGGGAGCTTGATCACATGTCCACTGAGACCTATAGTGTTAAGCTTTGATTCTGGATTGATGAGAAACAAAATTAACGCTTTTTCATTTGAACATCAAATATTTTATTTACAAATCCAACTCCCGTAGTGTGATTTCTTTATACATAATCACACACTAAGACATGCAAGAGGAAGATAATAGCATTTAAATGAAAACACAGGAAGATGTATAGTTATGGACAGATTTTATATTTTTACGTGACCATTTTTTAAAAAATAAAAATAAAAAAAAGGCTTTAAATAAATGTTATCTTTACTCTTAATTTGTTGTTCAAAATATTGGTTTTGAATAAAATATTTTGAATCTTCACTTAAAATTCACATCTTTTTGAAGCGTTATTCATTTTGAACTATTTTACATGAAATACGTATGTTTCACATACGTGTGAACTAGAGGACTAATATGGGTGCAGACTACAACTTCATGAGGTGATGGGTGCATACAAATTTGTCTACAGTCAGGACACAGCCATCAGTATATGGGACACGCTCTACCAGGTGAGTTTGCTTGGTGAGGGATTCTTGATGACAATGCACCAGAAGAAGAGACAATTGTTTTCCTGACTTATCCATTATTCTTTACTTCTTTTCAGAATTTTCAT